CTCGGCGAGTCGGATGAAGATTGTCTGAGTTCTTGGATCAAGTGGGTACTCGTCGAGTCGATGCCAGACTCGACGAGTAGCAGTGAGCAGAAGTGAAAAGTGAGAGTAGGACTCGGCGAGTTGGGTGGCCAACTCGGCGAGTCAGCCCAAAAGAGAGTTGACTTTGACCAAGGGTAAAAGAGTCATTTTACCCCAAGCGCAGTGTTTAGTATTTGATTGAGTGTGTTTATGGACTTGTAGCCGAGGAGATTCAGGAGCAGCCGCCGTTAGCTTCCCGAGCCACACACTCAGCAGCCAGCTTACGAGGTGAGTTTCCTTCCAGTAGGAACGGGTCTAAGGCCACAATGTCGGCCCGTTCAGTTAGCAGTAGTTTCCGGACTTAGGTCCGATGCAGTAGTTAGTATGTTCGATGCCTTTGTGGTTCGAACAGGAATTGTGTGCAATGTTTTATGTGTTAAGTATTATGTGTTCCGGGCCACGGCCCGATGTAGCATGTCGTATATGTGTTATGCTATGCCATGTTCAGTCAGTCGGTTCCGGACTTCGGTCCGATGCAATTAGTTCCGGACTTCGGTCCGATGCAGGGGACAAGGTCCCAGTCAGTTCCGGACTTCGGTCCGATGCAGTTAGTTCCGGACTTCGGTCCGATGCAGGGGACAAGGTCCCAATCAGTTCCGGACTTCGGTCCGATGTAGTTAGTTCCGGACTTCGGTCCGATGCAGGGGACAAGGTCCCAGACAGTTCCGGACTTCGGTCCGATGCAGTTCCGGGCTTCGGCCCGATGCAGTGGACAAGGCCCAATATGTGTTTATGTGTTATTGTTTGGTATGTGGTAGTTTGGGGGAGCTCACTAAGCTTCGTGCTTACAATTTCAGTTTTGGTTTCAGGTATTTCCGCAAGCAAAGGGAAGAGCTCGGGGTGACAGCATCGCACACACCACAGCATAGCTTTATCCTGGGGGATGTCTCTTGATGTTTTGGACTGATGTAGTATGATACGGTTTTCCGCACAATATTTTATTATGTTTTGGGGATACATCGCGTATGTTTTATGTTATGATACTTATATTATGGTTTTTATTATATGGAAAAACGAAAATTTTTGGGTCGTGTTTTTGGGTCGTTTCATTAACCCTTTCAGCCAGTAATCCCTTATGTGGCGTGTCAAGTTCGAAGGGGATGCTGATGTGTCATCTGATTTGGCATGCCTTGTCAGCATAAATCAGTTTTCTTTAAAAATGATGAATTTTTGTAAGGAATAGAGGGGAGACAACAGAGAGGTTTCGAACTCGAGACCTCTCCCACCAAACAAACTCAACTAACCAATTAAGCTAGATGCCATGAATATATAATCTTTATTTATTTTCATTAAAGTTCTACAAAAGATTTTTTTAGGACAAAAAGAAGCCAAGGGAAATTGAACCAAAGACCTACCCCTAAGAAAGCACATCTACAACCAACTAAGCTAGAACAATTTTGTAATTACTCTCTTCATAGTGGTATATATCTAAAAAACTCTGAAGAAAATAACTACATTTATTATTATTATTATTATTATTATTATTATTATTATTATAACGCAAACGTATATATAGTGATTATATGTATTTTGTAAAACTAAAAACGTATATATATATAAATTGTACAAATACACACACACACATATATATATATATATATATATATATATATATATATATATATATACATTTTTAAGTACATTATTATACATATAAAATATATTTATATGTAAAAAGTTTATAAATGTGTGCATTTTTAATAAAAATAATTATAATATATTCATTAATAATAATAGAAATAATAAAGACAAAACTGCACAAATGGTCCCTGTGGTATGTTGAAAATTGCCACTTTGATCCAAAAAGTTTTGGACTAGCACCACAAGTTCAAAGTTTTCATTTTCTTGCGAGTTTGATCCAATTTACTTTAATAATTTTTGTAATGACAATTTTTACCCTTCTTTTTTGTTTTTTTTTTTTCAGTTTATTTATTTATTTAAATATTTTCTTAATTAAAATAAAATTAAAAAAGAAAATAATTCTCTCTCTCTCTCTCTCATCTAAATTTTTTTTGAAAATTGATTATCACCACCGTTTTCCACCACCAAAGTCCGCTGCCACCACCGTCCACTACCTCCATCTCCGACTAAATGTTTTCTACTTTCACAATCTAAAATGAAATTAAGGCTTTTAATGGCATTCCCGTGTTCAATGTATTTACCAGGCAATGGATAAACACGTATGAACACATGGCAGCAGAAGGAACGGAAGCATCATTGCAAGTAGAGGAGAAATCGAACACCAAATTCGATTTTGGGGGGTTCTATCCTTGGTTCCTTGCTCGTTGCAGGCTAGAAAAGGGACCAAGGTAGGTATCGACGATTGTAGATCGTGAGGAGGGAGAAGTCTCCGGGTCGACGAGAGAGAAGTGATGCAGGTGGGAAGAAGCAGCGAGCAGCTGTGATTTCAGAGTTGTTTCGTTGTGGATGAGTAAGGGGAAACAACCTCGTTGTTTGAGTGAACCGAAGAATGGAAGAAGAACAGGGCAGTGAGGTTGTCGTCGAACTTGGTGGGTTCAACGAGGGCTGCTAAAGCAGCTCTTGGTTGCTTGTTTCTATTCCAGCTGAGGATCACGAGGGGGAGGAGGGAAGGAGCGATGAAACATCAGTACTGGTAGGGAGGCTCGTGGGTTAGTCGAATGCTCACAGGTCGTTTACTTCTTCTTCTTCTTCATTTTTTTGATAAAATTTGATAGGGTTAAGTAGGTGTTTGGGATTGATTCTTGATAGAAATTTATGAACAGAAATGATTTTTGGGGTTAATGTTTTGCAGTGGATCCATGGGTGTTTTTGTTTTTTTTTTTTTTTTTTTTTTTTTTTTTTTTTTTTTTTTTTATAGAAATCGATGGGTTTAAATCAATAGCTTTAGGTTGGTGTTTCATTTTGCTTGATAAAAATCGATGAGTTTAAATCAAATTTTGGTGTTTGGGAATGTATAAAGTTTGAAGAACATCATCCGTTTCCAAGAAACAAGAGAGGGAAGAGTGAATCTTGGAAGTCTGGAACCCTTGAGAGAGAGAGAGAGAGAGAGAGAGAGAGAGAGAGAGAGAAGAGAGAGAGGAGAGAGAGAGAGAGAGAGAAGAGGAGAGAGAGAGAGAGAGAGAGAGAATTATTTTCTTTTTTAATTTTCTTTTAATTATCAAAATATTTAAATAAATAAAAAACTGAAAAAAAAAACAAAGAAGAAGGGTAAAATTGTCATTACAAAAATTATTAAAGTAAATTGGACCAAACTCGCAAGAAAATGAAACTTTGGACCTGTGGTGCTAGTTCAAAACTTTTTGGACCAAAGTGGCAATTTTCAGCAAACCACAGGGACCATTTATGTATTTTTGTCAATAATAAATGGAATTGTTTTTTTGAAGTTTTGATATATATATAACTGATAAGGAAATAAAGACACCAGTGGGTCTTAGACTAGTTGGTTGCGTTTGGATTTTGTTATAGAAATGGCTTGAGTCCGAATCTTTTAATCCTCAGTTTCCTCCAATAATTAAGCTTTTTCTTAGAATACTAAGGGAAAAGATAAAGAATATATACATTTCTGATGGATATAAAGCCAGATAAAATATCTAGCTTAGGTGCGTGTGTTTAGAGTGGGAGTGCTCGTGTTCGAACCTTGGCAAAAAAGTCGATTTTTTAAGTGTGATGAATTCCGCTGAAGTAGCATGCCACATCATTTGCCACGTTAGATTTTCCTTCCAGCTTTGCATGCCACGTAAGCGATTACCGGTTGAAAAGGTAAAAAGGGGTTAAAATGTAAGGTTTATCCGATTTCTTGGGTTTTTTTATTCAAAAAAAATATATTTAGGACTTGAATGTAAATTTTTCCAAAATAATGAGACTTTTCTGAAGATTTCTCTATAAAAAATTATTTGTAAACATTAACTATGGGACTTTTCTGAAGATTTCCCTACATAGAATATTTACTGATAATTTTTGTATCCCCATATAAAAATTTCTAGCTCCGCCACTACACCCCGGTGGTTTGTGGTGGGTCGTGGTTGTGGCCTTACGTGCTCTGGACAACGATTTTAAACGGCCAATGAGTTCATTTCTCGCCTTAAATCTCGTTTGACCTCCTTTCTACTTCCCAACGGCTATTTTCCATTTACTTATGTTCTTCAATATTTACCTATAAATACTACCATTCATCTTCTTATTTTTCATACATTTCTTCTCCCTTTAGTCATCATATATTTTTGTTGTTTGATCCTTTAAAAACCATGCCTCCCAAAAATAAAAAATGGTCAGAAGAGGAAGACGAGAAATTAGCACAAACATGGGTGACGGTTTCGCAAAAAGACAGTGGTCAAACTTCTGGATCTTTTTGGAGAAACGTTGAAAGTGTTGTCCATGGTTTAATGGGTTGTGCAATTCGAAATGTTGATGAAATATGCTCGAAATGGTGCGATATGAGGGCCAAATGTTCTGAGTTCAATGGAATCTACAACTTTGTTATAAACAACATACACGAAGCCGATATCAATCCGGTTATTGTGGACATGGAGCAATATGAAAACACAAATCATAAACGTTTTGGACACGTCAAAGCTTGGCAAAAGTTGAAGAATTTCCCAAAATGGAATAACCTTGCTTAAACACACAAATTAGAAGTTTGGTATTTTTAGGTTTTTAATTCTTAATGTTATTTTTATTTTTTTTATTTAATTAATATAATTTTTATTTTTTATTTTAATTAATGTAGTTTTTATTGAATGTAATTTGGTATTTTAAATTAATGAAAAACTAGTATTTAAAAAAAAAATTATATGATTTTTATGTATTTTTATTTAAATTTAATTTAAAAAAAATGAGGTGGAGTTGTGTGTTTAGCGGTAGGTATCCTATGGTTAGTTGTGGGGAGTGTGGTAATGATGTGCCATCCACCACTATAGTGGTTAGTGACGGGTGTAACAGATGACCTTAAGTTCATTCATTTACAGTGCCACCGAGGCAACATTTATATTATACATAACATGACTGAACAAGCATTCTAAGGCTATTTTCAACTATCAAGATGAGAAGGGCAAACATGTCTTTTGCTGTTTTGCACATACAAGAAATCCAGAAAAAATCGCACTGCAACACAAAAGTTCACAATGTTTCCATTAGCCAATGCTTTAACCAAATTATAGCATTGTACTTTTTATTTTATTTTCTTGCTAACACACCGTATTTTGAAAACTCTACTCAAATATTGCAGTAAAAACTGCCTTGTATTTGGATGGCAATGCTATAACGGGGTAAATTTTTCAAAGCACAATGTTGTAATAAAATATGCTATAAAAAACAAATAATTGAAGTACATTGCTATTTCTTGTATTTAACCCTTTTCTTATCTACCTAGTTAATGGGAATAAGTTTTAGTCTACAGTCATATGAAAACGAAAAACACATGGAGGATGATGAGTGATTTATTGGGAAAAAAAGTAAAAATGATATACCAGGGACAATTGAAATATCAGCTGTTTGTACTATTGAAGGAGAGTGGCAGTAGGTGTTGCTGACTTACTATTGTTGGATTCCATTTCACTTAATCCTGTTCTAAATATTCCAGTACTATAGATGACTCCCTCCATTGTGAAAACATATTCGAAATAAGTTTGTGACAGTTTGTTTGTGTAATTTTTTATTTATGTAATGAGAAAAGGGTTTAAGGAATATAAAAGTACCTTAAGGACCAACCTCCTGTACGTCAGACCTTCTTTGAGAGAAAGCTTTGAAGTGCACTTGGTCATCTAATGAAATGAAATAGATCAAAGATTTAACACCAAAACATCATCATTTTGTTATAATCACTTTATCAGCTTTAGATAAAAGGTAATACATAAGAATGACCTCTACCTTTAAAGCGGGCGCCTTCTCCACAGAACTGATTAAAGTTTAGAAGAAACATATCAATGTAAGGCAACAGAATTCGCCGTTTGCTTAGGATGTATTCTCCTGTTGTTGACTGAAATCCAGTAAGATCTCCACCAATGATGTGATTCCATGACTTGTAATAACCCAACACATCTTCTCCTTCTTCTTCTTTTTCTTCTCCATCATCATACACAAAACTCACCCCACACTCTTTTGTAAAATGACATGGTTTCTTACTCGCAGTACTACTAAAGAAGGCACCATCTACCAACTCCATCACACTAACTGTAATGTGGTCACCAGATTCCATGTCATTCATCCCAAACATCCAATGGCTTAGAAACATCAAACACTTTCCACCCTCATAAAGTACACTATCATTGTTGTGTTCGTATATCCAGGTGTGTTTCTTAGTTATATTATTAATTATGATTACAGGCAACCTAAGGTACACATCATCTCCGAATCCAAACCTCTCATCTGGAAATGGAGATGTCAATATGTAGCAGAAATTCAATCCTGTGAGGTTGTTAGGAGATGATGGGATGGTAAATGATGTTGATGGCCCTGTGCTTCTATCCATAATCCAATCTGGCATCTCTTCGTGTCCATAAATTATGCTGAATATGCCAAATTCATAATACATCTGCCAAATACAACCAGCTTAACTTATTCACTATTAATTATATGTGCATATATATTCACACTGACAGATAGTTAAGTAGATCCAAACCTGGATTTCAGATTCCTCCGATCCTCCAAAAAAAACGTCAGTTTTCACAAACCTAGCATTAAGGAAGTTTAGCTTACTCCAGCCCAAACTTCGTAATACCTTTTCGGAAACATTTGACATTGGTTGGCTTTTGATCAAGCCTTGAATTTCACATGACGAAGAAGTTAACATCTTCCAGTTTATTATGAAAATGAGTGGGGACATTTCTGGATCAAATACAACTCTTCGAAGCAAAGGCTTATTAGAATCAAAAGAGAGGTCCATAAATGCTAGTGTATGTGGAGGATGCTCAACTGTCGTCAGCATATTACAGTCTTTCATACTAAGTGTCTCAAGCCTAGGAAGGCTTCTAACACAATTAGGCAGGCAAACGATAGGATTTCCATCTAAATATAATTCCTTTAACATGGATAGGCAACTGAAGTCCACGGGAAAGGATTCGGTAGACAAATTATTATTCTTGAGTGACAAGCTTACTAAATATTTCGGTAAAGACACTGCAAAAAACTTTAAATCCCTTGGTATAACCTCCTGAATGACGGAGGAAGAGGTTATTGTGTTTATGCCAATGTTGTTAGCCTTGAGCATGCCCAATGAATCCATATCCCTAATCTTGATTTGAGATTCACCTAGATAATAACCATTCAGCAAAAGAGTTTTAACTTTCTTTAGCATGTGTAAACTTCTTGAAAGTTTTTCAAGCTTGTTGCAGTAGCTTAGGTCAATGAGAACAAGTTCGAAACATTGCTCAATTGATTCACAAACATCAAGCAAACCAATGCAACCTCTAAGTATTAACCTCTCAAGTTTCGGGAGGTGGTCAAACCCACCAAGACTATGAAGTTGTTCACAGAAACTTAAATTAAGAATCTTCAATGATCCAAGCAGCCTTTTGTCTTTTGACCACCATCCAGTCAATTGCTGAATTGAAAAAAGTTAAGAGTAGTAATAAATTTTATCACTTCAACATAGAAGAGTAATAAATGGAGATAACTTACCTTTAGCCTCTTATGAAGTCGTCGGGGGATAGCTATAACAACTCCCAAATGATTCAATATTGCTATAAGACATGTCAAGAGCAACCAAATTCTCCAACATTAAGTTTGAAGGTATAGATTTCAATGGGAACCCATGCATACACAACCATCTTAATTCTTTTGGAAAATTCTTGTAAGAGCCAGTTATTTGCACATAATTAAGTTGTAGCAGCATTAGACTATCCATCTTACTCAATGCGTCTGTCTTTAACTCAAGTGATCCATGTAACTTCTCTTTCTCAAGCATTCTCATGTCAAGGGCGAGGCCTAGAACATTTTCCGTACCCTAAAAGGAAAGGGGATGCAAAAATATTTTAAAGTGTCATAGACATGGATATAGAAATTCAAATGCTTTATACAAGTATATATGACCTCTTACCTTTTTTTGTTTCATCACTTTGAATGAGTCCTCGTGACACCATAATCGACTTCTTTCCCATGGCTTATCAGGCGATTCTTCACGTACTACTAGCCTTCCCATTTCTTGAACCAGCCGATGCATCATCAATTCGTTATTCAATCCAATACTAACAAGGCACCTGTTAATAAGATCCGTGATCCCAGATCTTGTGTCTATATCACATGCCTTTAAAATTGTTTCGGCAACATCTCTATCCATTCCAACAAAAAAGCAAGCAATATGCTTAAACAAGTCCTTATGATTTTTGAATGGCAAAGTATCAAAGCTCCTTCTCAATACATTATTTATAGGTGAACCATTTTCTTTCTTTAACTCTTCTATGTACCCCTCCCAATAAGCTACGTCTCGATTATGTAGATTTTTGCCTAAAAGTTGAAGAGCCATCGGATGCCCTTCACAATACTCCACAAGCTTTTCTGACACCTCTTCATAACCTACCTTGGGATCGTTGCACATGAATGCATGATAACACAAAAGTTTTTGTGATTCAGTCTTATATAAGCCTTTAAGCACATGATTTGTATGCTTGGGTTTAACGTTCGTTTTGAATAGCACACAACTCTCTGTCAACCACGCATCCTTTGTTGTGATTATGATTTTGCTTCCTGGATGAAGACCTTTGCTTCCAAGTAATGCATCCAACTGGTCAAGACTATTGATATCATCAAGAACTAGAAACATCTTTTTATAGACTAGTGCATTCTCTATCATGGACGTGTATACCGAAGAATCATGAACATGAATCGGACTTTGTTTTGAAATGCCGTTGTAGAGTTGTTTTTGTAAAGCAAGCAACCCATCAGTTTTTTCACATCTCCTACTAATATCTTCAATAATGTTGTTTGTATCAAATTCATGAGAATATAACCCATAGACATATTTGGCTAAAGATGTCTTCCCAATCCCACCAATACCCAAAATAGTGAGTACATCTGCTGTATGTGAGGATGTATCTCTCAACCATGAAGTGACGAATCTAATAGAATAATCCATCCCAAAAAGTTGAGGTAGATGACTCCTTGAGGATATGTGTAATCTACGGTAGATGTCTGTAACAATTTCTTCAATAAATGCCATCTCTTGCCTGAAACTTGATTTCAATAAGAACAAAAATTACAATCCAAAAAAACTAGCATACCAGATTGGAGATTTAGTTATCCAAACCAAATCATAATTACATCATACTAAGCTATCAGTTAATTAAGTTTTTCACATCAAAATTATATCGTATTTGCAATTTGAACCATATAAGCATCCAACGTGCAAGGTCATAATTTTTATGTAACATAAGACTAGAGCCACCAATGTAATACTAGATTACTTTCATCGGCCACCAAATTTCATGATGTTTCTAAACGACCATCAAATTTAACTATCAATGTCGTTTATCTAAATAAATTAATTATGATAAGATAATAAATGCATAAAAATGTGTGAAAAGTAGCTTGACGTTTAATCTATATGAAATTATTTACGAGATCACATAGTTGAAAACATTAAATTCAACTTTTTACATTTCTTTAATAAGTTAGAATACATAAAAGTAATGCATCTTTTATTGACAATGAAGAAACTAATACATAGAGAGATGATATTGACTATTCATGCGTTAGTCAAACAAAACTGAAAGGAATATGAATGCATAGTAAGAAAATGATTACCTGCCATTTAGGTCCATCCCTTTTATATTAGCAACTTCTACAAGTGCTTTAGTCCATCGATCTATTTTTTGAGCCGATTTTCTTCTTTTATTTGCATTTGTCTCCGCCTCCATCATCTGTTTATGCTTAGTCATTGCATCTCCAAAGCTACTTTCTTGCTTCCTGACATGTGTGGGCTTAACATGATAAAATATGGGGATAACGATATGGTTGGATGTCTTACGTTGCTCAAGGATCAGCACCAATTCATCAAGACACCACGTTGAATTAGCATAATTCTTAGACAAAATGATAACAGAAGCTCTCGATGCTTTAATGGCACTCTCCAATTCTGGTTTCAGATCTTCCCCGGTTTCAATCTCTTCATCATCCAAGAAGGTATTGATATTGGCATCCATGAGAGCTTTATGAAGGTAAGCAGTGAAACTATTACGAGTGTCGAGACCTCTGAAACTTAAAAATACGTCATATCTTTGAGCTTGAGTTGATGAAGAAGATGAAGATCCTTCTAAAATTTCATGGAGCTCAACCATTATGAGTTATGGGTTGACAACCTTTCGCACTTCCCACGACTTTGTGTATCTCAATAAGTATTGTGTTCTGAAGCGTTTGAATCCCACACTTTCCTCAATTGCAACTCAATCTCAAGACCTCATACCTAAAAACTCTACAAAAAAACCAAATTATTACTAACTTATATAACTTAAGTCTCATCAAAACAATTTAAACCTCGACAATGATATATTCTACATAATTAAAACTTTAAGTGTTTAAATAACAATACATATGCACCTGCAAACTTTTCCATGTGAATTCAATAAATTTCAGAAATAACCAGCATATATACAGCTATGTATTGATATAGTATCATAATAATATTGAGATGAGAATTGTTTAAAAATTGCTTAATTACTCGGTTAATTAAATTGATTAACCTGTTTTTCCAGTTAAGTTCGGTGCAAGAAATTATCGAACCAATGTATTCAATTAAACTAAACACCTAATACCATTCTAGAAACAACTAAAATATCCATTATTACATCATATGAAAGGAATTGCAGAACATATAGGCAATTTCCAAACTTTCAATAGATATGAACAAACAACTAAAAGATCCAAACATAAGAAAGAATAAGTTTCTTTTCTTGACATGGTTGTTTATAGATCCCCAATATTAGCAAGAACAATCTTTTCAAATTTGAATTTGTCTATCCATATAATATGAATTTGAACCTAACAAATTACACAACTTCTGAGCTTTTAATCACAAAAGTCTATACGATCCTTCTGGTTCAAAAAGAATCATATGTAGAGAATCAAGTTTGTGAATAATTAATGAAGTACATGATGGACTCTGTACGATCCTAACCAAAATACAAAACTGAAAAAAGTAACTAAAATAATCAAAATTTCAATCCCATTTTGATGAACAAACAAATGATCATGATGTCGTTTATGATTAAAAAGATGTAACTGTCTAACAACATGTGAAACTAACTTGTAAGAATGTGACTTTACCTGCCTACAGAACTACGGTGAGGCCTGAAACAGCGAGAATTGCAGAAGATCCAATGGAGACGAGAAGGACGACGAGTGAAAACTGCAGAACCAACGCTGGTAAACGGCAAGTCAACGAGATTGAAAAGGGAGATAGCGAGAGAGGTGAGAGAGAATGTTTTACCTTGCTATGGAGAAGGGCTTTTATGATATTTCCTCTTTTAATTATTCTTTTACAAAAAATGTTATCGTATTTTTATCGCAAGTTACAGAAATGGTCCTTGTGGTTGTTAAAACATTGCAGTTTCTGTCAGAACTTTTTATTTATAAGGGGCCCATTAAGCATGGAGGTTGTTGCGGTTTTTGTCCCCTGCCTATGTGAAATGACTAAAATACCATTTGTGTTATAGTTTTAATGTAACACCCAAGTTTTATACGACTGGTAAATAGAAATATAAACACGTGTAGATCATTAAAAAAAATGAAATAAGAAGTTAACATCTTTCTTAATCAACTTTGGCTTTAGTCAAATTATAAATAATTACTCATTATCTACTTTACTTGAAGTTGATTATTTTATTGTAGTTCTTGTAATCATATTAATCTAGAAGTCCTATGGAAAAATAAGGTAAAAATAAATTTTAGAAATTAAATATTTAGGTGTTTTGAAGTTCTTTCTAGGTATTGAAATTATCAATACTGATATATGAATTGTATGTGTAAAAAAAATGTGCGTTAGAATTATATGAGTATGGACTTGGGTGTAAGCATGTTAACACCGCATAAGCCTATTATCATTGTCGTTAGCAACAAGGGACTTGGTGTGAATGATAGTCTTTTAATGTTTTAACTGGTTATCAAAAGTTAAGTAGGAAAGTCATTTATTTGACATCACTCAGCCAATCTCATTTGTTATCCAAACATTGAGCCAGTTCATGCATGCTTCATGGAAGTCGCATTTAAATTTAGCCACTAGAATACTAAGGTACTTCAAATGTAATCCTATCAATATTAACAAGTCTTTTAGCTTGAGGTTAGCGGCATACATAAATGCTAATGGGGGAATGTGTTAGCATTAGAAGGTCACTTACAAGTTTATGTTTGGTATGTGGAATTAAAGTCATTAATCTCTTGAAAGAGAAAGAAATAGATCATTTTTTTTTTGAACGGAGATTAAAAAAAACAAGCCTTAAGGTATAGCAAGAAACTACCCTAAGACAAAAAAAAAATTACAAGTTCATAGGATGTTCGAGCCACGAGTTCCAACTCTAGCAACCTTTTTGTTCCTCGAACAAACCAATTAAACGAATACAAAACAATGAAATCAACAGAGGCGAACCTACGTTGAACTAAAGGGTGTCCATGGACACCCTTTGTTATTTAATTCTCTTTACAGATTATATGGTAAATTTGAAAGGGACACCGGTGGAAATCACAAAATGGACACCTGGGAGTTTGTGAGGCAACATGAAACAATTTAGAAATTTTCTAACATCTCAGGAATTTTTAAATTTAGTAACATACAGCTGTATGAGTAATTAGTAGGGTAATAAAAAAGAAAACTTTTTATGAATACAATCTCTTTAAATCTTACAAATCATGTAGAGTATTAGAAAACAACGCTGAAATGCCGAAGCCCTAAAAAACAAAATGTAACGCCGAATTTTTCAAAACATTTTTTTTTTCATTTGAAAACATACTTTCATTCATAAAATAATATTAAACATAATGTATCAACTGTCATCATAGTAAAAACATGTCCCAAAATCACATAAACAAAAACTCCGCGAGTGTGTACAGGTCATGCTGGCGCCTTCCAGCGATCATCACTGGTAGCCTGGTACCTAAAACACATACACAAAACATTGTAAGCATAATTGCTTAGTGAGTTCCCCAAAATACCACATAGACACATATCAGCCACTCAAGGCTGTAACTCTGATGACCCTCTGGTCGAATATCTCTGTGGGACCCTCTTGGTCCCATAACTCTGTGGACCCACTAGTCCTAACTCTATAAACTCTGAATCATGCATATCACATATCACATAGAAACCACAACACATAAATAGCATACCAGATACACTGTCACATAACTCTGATTACCACTCTGGGTAATGTATAATGAGAAGACTCACCTCGGGAATCTCGGTAAAATCTCGAACTCAGAAATACTGGCCTAGCCTCCGCCTAGTCACAATAATAAATTACACTAAATAAATGTCTCTCCACCAACTTGGATATTCTCTCATAAAAATCCCTAGAAGGGTAAAAGACCATTCTACCCCTCTACAGGCCCAAAGGCCCACTTGTTGACAAACCCTAGAAGTCAACTGTCTATTTTGACCAGACTCATTGAGTGCATACGATGACTCGGCGAGTCCCATCATCCCCACAGACTCTTCCCTTTCTAAGCCTCACTCGACTCACTAAGTCACCCCTCAACTCACCGGGTTACCACTGGAGTCTGACCCCAGGGCCACCCGGTCCGACTCGTCGAGTCTACATATGGACTCGGCAATTTTCCTCCATGGAATCGCTCAAACAACCTCCTAAGGTCAGATCTGCTTAATCAAATCATAGATCTAACCTTTAAACACTCGAAAGTCACGTAAAGGTGCAACCTTTACGTGCATGCAACCCATATCAAGCCTCAAATGGAGAAATAACACTATAAATGGCAACCTAGTCTCCAACTGCTTATTTGCTTGCAAAAAGCTGGGAAATAATGACTCTAGGGACCTCTCATGGTCCAGATCTGATGTCATAATTCCAAAGAGGACCTCATACTCACTAGATCTCATAAAATTATGAGGGAAAAACCCTAAAACTATGAAATCTACCATATGAACGTGTAGCACCTGGTTCCTGGTACGTAAAATTTATCTAAGTATTTTACATTTATGGCCTTGGACTCGGCGAGTTGTAGGCCCAACTCGCCGAGTGGAGACGGGTTTGGGAGCACGTTAAGTTGGCGACTCGGTGAGTCCCCGCTGTCTAATGAAACCCTAAATTTCAAGGGTTTGCACCCTATTTAAACCAACCTTATGCACCCCAACCTCGCCCCTTTCACCCTCAGAGCTCCCAACATCGTTCAAACCCTTATTCTTTGTGAGATTGAAGTGCTTTGGTGTGTTTGTTGAAGATTTAGAAAAGAAAGAAGAGTAGATCAAGAAGAGAAGAAGGAGACCAGACATCCTTTTGTTATCTCAGTGATTTCCTTGAGGTATAACTCAGTTTCCCCCCTGTTTTCATGCTTATAGTCCCTTATAGCTCCATTAAAGTCCTCTTTGAGCCATTTCCAAGCTTGATCACGAATTAGGGTTTGAAATAAGTTGATTAACCCTTAGATCTAGGATTGATTTAGCTCCAGGAGCTCAAATCTACTGCCTTTATGGAGCCATATTGCATGAAAGCCCTAGATCTACTCTTTCAGTGCATTTTGAGCCCTAAAACCGTCATTGGTGTTTATTTACACGTAAAGTTGGAAACTTTACGTGTTAATCAGGCCCTAGAAACCCAGATCTATGTATGGCATGAGCTAGATTCGAGCAAAATCGAGTATATAGTGTTTGCATGCGAAGGACTCGGCGAGTCGTTCATCGGACTCGACGAGTCGAGTCGCAAGTCCCCGAGTTCTCCCCCTTTTCGTGTTTGCGGAGTGGAGTAGTGATTCATGGGGTGTGACTTAGTGATTCGGAAGCCATACTCACCCATGAAGAAACTCGGCGAGTCAATGACCTGACTCGGCGAGTCCAAGGCAATCTTCTTGACTCAAGAACAGACTTGGCGAGTTGTTCATACAACTCAGCGAGTCTCAGCATAGAGGGTTCTTCGGATGAAGACGAACTCGGCGAGTAGGATGAAGGACGTTTGGACATCAGTTTAGAAGGAAAACTCGTCGAGTCGATGCCAAACTCGACGAGTAGAGACTAGACTATGGTCAGACAAAGGGATAGGGACTCGGCGAGTTGGCATGCCAACTCGGCGAGTCGGTTCAACTGGAAGTTGACTTTGACTTTGACTTTGACTCTTGG